AATCAATAAGAAAACATTATACTTAAACTATACGTTAGACCAGGTGGAACTGTCATATGCAGAACATCCTATCCAATAGCAGCACAATACACATTCCTCTCACATGTACATGGAACGTTCAACAGGATATATATCATGTTAGGCCACAAAACAAGTTTTAATAAATTTAAGATGATTGAAATAATATCAAGCATCTTTCTGACCACAAGGAGGAAGAAAAACCCAGGAAGAATCTCACTGAAAAAACAGCTGTAAATATAATGTATATTTTCAGAGAATTGTATTTAACTAATATTTTTGTATATTTAAATTTGCTCACAGTGGTTTGTTACAGTTAAACTTGATTCTTATTTGCAAAGTGCTGTAGCTTATAATGAACTCTTAAATGTTGATGTCTTCATAGACTTTATTTTCTTAGACAGTGTATAAACAGATAATTGCTAATATTAAGAGTGTGTTAAGTTTGTAAACCTAACTTTTAAAAAGCCAGATTCTTTTTTGATTACATGTTTCAAAATCCTGGAAAAAACATTGGTTTTTTTTAATTAAGTAAAAAAAGAAAAAAAAACTTCCTTATGAAATGGTAAATCAATTACAAGAAGAAAATGGGGAAATTCACAGATATTTGAAGATTAAACAACATGCTACTGAACAACCAGTGGGTCAAGATCAAAGAAGAAATCAAAAGGGAAATAAAAAAATATCTTGAGACAAGCGAAAATGCAAACATAACACACCAAAACTTACAGGATGTAGCAAAAGCAGTTCTAAGAGGTAATTTTATAGCAACAAACACCTACATTAAGAAAAAAGATCTTAAATAAACCACCTAACTTTATACCTCAAGGAATTAGAAAAAGAATAACAAAGCCAAAAATTAGTAAAAGGAAGAAAGTTACAAAGATCAGAACGGAAATAAATGAAATAGAGGCTACAAGACAATAGAAAAAGATCAGTGAAACTAAGAACTGGTTTTTGAAAAGATAAACAAAACGACAAACCTTTAGCTAGACTAAGAAAAAAGAATAAAGGCTCAAATAAAATTATAAATGAAAGAAGAAACATTACAACTGATAACATATAAATACTAAGGATCATAAGAAATTACTATGAACAGTTATATGCCCACAAATTAGATAACCTAGAAATGGATAAGTTCCTAGAAACATAAAACTTACCAAGACTGAATCATGAAGAAATAGAAAATCTCAGCAGACCAATTACTAGTAAGGAGATCAAATCAGTAATCAAAAACCTCCCAACAAAGAAAAACTCAAGACCAGTTAGCTTCCCTGGTGAATTGTACCAAACATTTACAGCAGAATTAATACGAATCTTTCTTAAACTCCTCCAAAAAAATAGAAGAGGAGGGAACATTTCCAAACTCATTTTATGAGGCCAGCATTACCCTGTAGCAAAGCCAGACAAGGATACTACAAGAAAATAAAACTACGGGCCAGTATCCCTAATGAACATAGATGTAAAAATCCTCAAAAGAATATTAGCAAACCAAATTCAGTAGTACGTTAAAAGGATCATACACCGTGATCCAGTGGGATTTACTCCTGTGATGCAAATCAATAAATGTGATATACCATATTAACAGAATGAAAAATAAAAATCATATGATCATCTCAATAAATGCATAAAAAGCATTTGACAAAATTAAGCATCTTTTCATAATAAAAACCTCAACAAATTGGGTATAGAAGGAATGTGCCTCAACATAATAAAGGTCGTGTATCACGTTTATTACAGCTAACATCATACTCAAGGGTAAAATGCTGAAAGCTTCCTCTGAGACCAGGAACAAGACAAGGATACCCATTCTCACCACTCTCATTCAACATAGTATTGGAAGTCCTAGCCAGAGCAATTAGGCAAGAAAAAGAAATAAAAGGTATCTAAATTAGAAAGGAAGAAGTAAAATTATCTCTGTTTGCAGATGGCATGGCATTATATATAAAAAAAGCCTAAAGATTCCACCAAAAACTGTTAGTACTAATAAATGAGTTCAGTAAAGTTGCGTGATACAGAATCAATAATAGAAAAATCAGTTTGTTTCAATACACTAACAACAAACTATCAGAAAAATTTAGACAATCCCATTTACAATAGCATCAAAAAGAGTAAAATACTTAGGAATAAATTCAACAAAGGAGGTGAAAGCTCTCTACACTGAAAACTGTAAAATATTGATGAAAGTATTGAAGGCGACTCAAATAAATGGAAAGATAATCTGTGTTCATGGACTGGAAGAATTAATATTGTTCAAATGTCCTTACTAGCCAAAGCGATTTATAGGTTCATTACAATCCCTATCAAGATCCCAATGTCACTTTTCACAGAAATAAACAACCCTTAAATTCACATGCAATCACAAAAGATGAAGAATAGCCAAGGCATTCTTGAGAAAGAAGAACAAAGCTGGAAGCATCACACTTCCTGCTTTCAAACTGTAAAACAAAGCTAGAATAATCAAAACAGTGTGGTCCTGGCATAAAAACAGACGGATAGATCAGAGACACATAGACTCATAGAACGTAGAGCCCAGAAATAAGTCCATGCATATATGGTCAATTAATATTCAGCGAAGGAGGCACGAATATGCAATGGGGAAAGGACAGTCTCTTCAGTAAGTGGTGCTTGGAAAACTGGATATTCACACGCAAAAGAACAAAACTGGACCCCTATCTTATACCATGTACAAAAATCAACTCAAAATGGAATAAGACTTGAATGTAAGACCTGAAACCCTAAAACTCCTAGAAGAGGGGCTGGCCTGGTGGTTGAGTTCTCGAGTTCCACTTCGGCAGCCTGGGGTTTGCCGGTTCGGATCCTGGGTGTGGACCTACTCACCGCTCATCAAGCCATGCTGAGGCGGCGTCCCACATAGAAGAACTAGAAGGACCTACAACTAGGATATACAACTATCTACTGGGGCTTTAGGGAGAAAAAAGAAAAGAAAAAAAAGAGGAAGATTGGCAACAGATGTTAGCTCAGGGCCAATCTTCCTCAAAAAACAAAAACAAAACTCCTAGAAGAAAAACCTAGGGGGTAAGATCCTTTATATAGGTCTTTCAATGATTTTTTGGGTTTGACACCAAAAGCAAAGGCAACAAAAGTCAAAGTAAACAAGTGGGATGACGTCAAACTAAAAAAGCTTCTGTGCAGCAAAGACGACCATCAACAAAATGAAAAGGGAACCTCCAGAATGGGAGAAAATATTTGCAAACCACATATCTGATACAAGGTGAATATCCAAAATATATAAGGAACTCAGATAACTCAATATCGCAAAAAAGAAATAATTAAAAAATGAGCAAAGGACATTTTTCCAAAGAAGACATACAAATGGCCAACAGGTAAATGAAAAGATGCTCAATCTCACTAATCAGAGAAATGCAGTTCAAAACCACAGTGAGATCACCTCACATCTGTTAGGATGTCTGTTATCAAAAAGACAAGAGATGACAAATGCTAGTAAGGATGTGGGTAAAAGGGAACCGTCGTACACTGTTGGTGTGAATGTAAACTGGTACAGCCACTATGGAAAATAAAATGGAGGTTCCTCAAAAACTTAGAGAACTACTGTATGATCCAGCAAAGCCACATGTAAGTATATATCCAAAGGACACAAAATCATTATCTCAGAGAGATAGCTGTACTCCCATGTTTATTGCAGATTATTTACAACTATGGAAACAACCTACCTGTCTGTCAACAGATGAATGGATAAAGAAGATGATGTATATATATACAGTGGAATGTTATTCAGCCCCTAAAAAAGAAGGAAATCCCACCATTTGTGCAACATGGATGAACCTGGAGGGCATTATGCTAAGTGAAATGAGCCAAACAGAGAAAAACAAATATTGCGGGATATCATTTATATGTGTAATATTTGAAAAAAAAAACCTAACACTTAGAAACAGAGTAGCATGGTTGTTGCGGGGGGTGGGGGGGGGATGCTGGGAGGGTCGGTGGTGGGGAAAATAGGGAATGGCTGGTAAAAGGGCACAAACTTGTAAGTTTGTTGTAAGATGAATAAGGTGTGAGGATGTAATGTGTAACATGGTGACTATGGTTGGTAATACTGTAATGTATAATTGAAATTTGCTGAGAGTAGAAATTAAGTGTTCTCACCACACACACAAAAAATGTTAACTATGTAATATGATGGATGTGTTAACCTTGAGGGTGGGAATCCTTTCACAAGGTGTACGTATATCATCAAATCATCATATTGTACACTTTAAATACATTATAATTTGATTTGTCAGTTATACTTCCAGAAAGCTGAAAAAATAAAAATAAACAAAAAAACCCCCTCAGTATTTGAGATTAAATTATCTGTTTTTCATTTTGGTTTTTATTTATTTTATTTTATTTTATTTATTTTATTTTATTATTTTATTTTATTCATTTTATTTATTTTATTTTATTATTTTATTTTATTCATTTTATTTATTTTATTTTATTATTTTATTTTATTTTTATTTTATTTATTTGTTTTTTTCCCCCCACAGCCCCAGTAGATAGTTGTATGTCATAGCAGCACATCCTTCTAGTTGATGTATGTGGGACGCGGCCTCAGCATGGCTGGAGAAGCAGTGTGTCGGTGCGCGCCCGGGATCCGAACCCGGGCCGCCAGCAGCCGAGCGCATGCACTTAACCGCTAAGCCACCGGGCCGGCCCTATGATTTATCCTTATATCTCATAAAATGATGTAAATGATGATGTTACAATTTCATTCCTTGCTGGTTCCAGAGAACTGTATTTTGCATCTATTGTTTAGAAATAATAAAGTAAGCAGAAAGAGACTAAATATGTGTTCAGTAATTTGGGAACATCATAATAGGTGAAATTTAAATATAATGTGACAGTAGTTTCTGTTTTCAGTAGTTTTTAAACTTTATTCCATCCCTGTGTTCTGACAGTGTAAATATGTAAAATGCTAGTGGAGCTCTGTTGTGACTGGCCCCACATCTTCTCTCTAGGTTTGATCCAGACCGGTTTGATGATGAATTGGTAGTGAAGACCTTCTCCTTGCTTGGATTCTCAGGCCCACAGGAATGCCCAGAGTTGAGGTGAGATGATAAAGAGAGTACAGTGAAAGGACAGATGCCAGACTTTGTGCTTATAATTGGATGATCACTGTTGATGAGAATGAGCAATCCAGTTGTTAATCTTCAGTAACCAGTTGACTTTCTTCCTGACTAGGTTTGCATATATGGTGACCACAGTACTTCTGAGTGTATTGATGAGGAGACTGCACCTACTCTCTGTGGAGGGACAGGTTATTGAAACTAAGTATGAACTGGTAACGTCATCCAAGGAAGAAGCTTGGATCACTGTCTCAAAGAGATATTAAAATTCTATACACTTAGCTTTGTTGCGGAAAATGACCATGTAGAAAATCTGTATTTACTCCTTTTATAAACCAAGTATTGTTGTGTAATATAAACACCTGTTAGTACTTCATTATGTAAATTTGGATTTTTGTATATCAGATTTTCTTAATGCATGATATACATTTATACTTATTGCATCAATATAGTGATTGTTTTAATGGGAAGCTTTCTACTTTTACTTTTTGTTTTATCACTTTCTGTGCAATTATATTCATATTCTTTTGCTTAGTTTGATCTCTAAAATTAATATTCTGGAAGAGAGAAGTTATTTTGCACACTTTGGTGAATCATATTTTGTGAATATCATAAAAGAGAAATATAGTCCTAACTCCTTTATGTACTTCCAATAAATCACCTTAAAGGAAAACAAAAGGACTTCCCATAATTTTATCCCTTGGATTAGTATTTTTATTTTCTGACTATAAATTAGTTTGTATTTAATCATTGTTAGTAGGTTTGAGTACTTCATTGGGTAACCTACATTGTGTTTGCTATTTTTATGCCTTTCCAGACAGTAGTGTTCATTTCATGACTTACACAAGGCTCATGATTTTGAACAGTTCTGAATCATTTGGAAAATAATATAGTTGCTTTTTAATGCGTTTCGAAGTGTCCCTCCTAAGTGACAAGCTAAGATTGAGGCTTGTCTGTCCTGTTTTGCTGGAAATCTTAGCAGCACTATACTACTCCACTAACTATCATTTGTGGAGAATACAGAATTCCTAAATTTATTATTTATTATTATGTCATATACTAAACATAATGAACTTATGATTAAAAAATGAGAGAGCACTAAGCAAAAACCAAAACCAAATTAAAAAAAAAAAAAACAAAGATGGGTGAAAGTATTGCAAAATATATGACAGACAGGGATAATATCCTTATTACATTTAAAGAGCTCATACAAATTGGTAAGAAAACATACAATAGATAAATGGACAAAAGACATGAGTACACAGCCTTTACAAGAGGAAACAGCTAATAAACTTGTAGAAAAATGGTCAGTCTTACTGGTAAGCAAAGAAATATTGGGTCTATTTCAAAATATTTTAAGTATCATTCAGGATTTACACTTTAGTAATGATAAGTTTTATATTTAATACTTGTTTTATTGATAGCATTGTATTTTAGTCCACCTTTTTTGGTTACTCTGTTCTTGAAGAATTCTTCTTTTTAAAGACAACTGAAGGAAATATGCCACGTGCAGCTTGAGAGGAAAGGAAGAAAAATGATAAATGTTTGCAAGTGGGTTTGTTTTTTTAGTTTTTTATAATTTTATTTATTTATTTATTTTTCCCCCCAAAGCCCCAGTAGATAGTTGTATGTCATAGTTGCACATCCTTCTAGTTGCTGTATGTGGGACGTGGCCTCAGAATGGCCGGAGAAGCGGTGCGTCGGTGCGCGCCCAGGATCCGAACCCGGGCCGCCAGCAGTGGAGGGCGCGCACTCAACCGCTAAGCCATAGGGCCGGCCAGTGGGTTTGTTTTTGACACTGCTGAATTTCACTTGTAGTTTTAGTTTTGTGAATGCACCCTAGTTACTAATTGAGTGATTTTATGCTGTGTTTATGGTCAGATGGCTGACATTGTAGACCTACTTATGGGTGGTCAACATAGAATTTAAGTAATTAGATGCAACCTTTATTTCTGAAAAAAAATATTTAATTTATGGAATAATTTAAATCCTGAAACTTTAAGTGAAATGTATTCTTAGTTGCTAGCATCATATTGTTTCTAAAAAGGCACTTGTTAAATTTATTCCCTCTCACCTATCATTTTCTATGGTTTGCATAGACAGAGCATCTTCCTTTGTTATCCAGGTACCTTAATTGGTTTAGAAACTGGCAGTGGAAGGTTAGAGTGGGCAATTGATATGTAAACCAAGTGTCAGTAAAATCAGATGAGATAAGTGGAATTTTAAGGAAAGTGAGACCTGATCAGCAATGACCAAGGCAAAACCAGCAGCCGAGCCAGCGAGTCGGGGGGGCGGCATGTTGCTAATAAATGAGGCAATGTGTAATTACTAATAATGCTTAGAATCAAGGAAAATAGAGGATAGAAGAATCAGCTGAATAAGCACATTTTATGCATAGTTACATGACTAACTTAAAGCATTAAAAAATAAATCATCTTCTAGAGAATTTTAAAAAAATACAAATACTGTTAATCATGTATAAAATAAGTTATTCGTTCCTTGTTGTTCTTACTTGGCCCTGTGTATTTATCCAATGACGGAAATTTTAGTAGCCTCAGTGTCACTGATGGCTCGCAGCAGGACTCCAGCAGGACTCTCTAAGTTTTATAGCTTTTTGGTTTTCTTGAATCTATTTCTTCACTGATTTTGATCTGCATTCTTTTTGATAGTTTGGAAGTTTATTGTTAAAAACATCAGCTCAACACGTTTTTTATGGAATGAAAGGGCTCTTCTACACTTTGTGTTAGTAAAATTCAAGGCAGAATTAATTCTGTGCATGTGTTTGGGAAAAATGAAGAGCTCACGTGCTGTTTATCTGGCCTGCAAATGTGCTGTTCCATTTTTTATATAAGTAGCTTCTATCTTATTCATAGACCATATGTCAAAATTTGTTTTCTTTATCTTAAAATAGTTTGTATTTTAAAAACAAAATTTTGCTTTTTTTGTTTTTTGTGAGGAGGACCAGTCCTGAGCTAACATCCAATGCCAATCCTCCTCTTTTTTGCTGAGGAAGACTAGCCCTGGGCTAATAGCCGTGCCCATCTTCCTCTACTTTATATGGGACGCCGCCACAGTGTGGCTTGACGAGCGGTGCATCAGTGCGCGCCCGGGATCCGAATCGGCCAACTCCGGGCCGCTGCAGCAGAGCGTGTGCACTTAACCGCTTGCACCATCGGTCCGTCCCAAAAATTTCGTATGTTTATTATGAAAATTATATAGGTTTATTGTAGAGAAATCTAGGAAATACAGAAACACAAAAATAGCAAACTCAGTCACCTGTAGTCCCAGTACTTGAAGTTAGCCTGTGTTAAGCTTCTGAGGTAGATCCCTGTAGTCTCTTTTTTCATCCACATGTAATTTTTACAGACATATTATACAAACGTTTATGTATAAACGTTCATTTAATATATTATGTTTTCTACAATTGGAACATCAGTACTTTTCTCACTCAGAATGTAAGCACAGATTTTTGTCATTCTTACTTTTTCTCTCTTTCTCTTCTCAGATATTCTTTTCAACTTTAAAAATGGCCCTACTTCTCCATCTGTTTTATCAAAACAATTATATATTTGTACATCTCAGTTGCTCAAGTCATAGAACAATCTAGGTGTTACAGTGGGCATTTAAGAAATGAAATTACTTAACAATCCTAAGAAAAATCTTCAGTATAATTAAGTTCAAATTGAGATGGCATTTCAACTTTTAAGAGGCAATCTTAAGAATCCTTATTGTTTTTGGACTTTGGGGCAAACAAATGAAGATTTGTCCCTGAAGACATCTTTATTTTTTTCTCCAGATTCATAAAAAGCACTGTTAACCCATGAAATGTACTTTTTTCACATGTGATTATGTTGACATGGTGAAAACCACTTAAAAAAACACAATTCTACTGGGTTTGTAAAACTGAGGACATGCAGTGGCATCAAGGAGTAGTTTAGTAGCTGTGAGAGAAATGGACACTGTTTTCAAGGGCAGGCTTTTATAATGTCAACAAATTGATCCTAGTGACTTATTTTTCTTCTTAGCCAGTCCTATGCCTGTTTCCTCAGTAACTAAGACGAGTGATTAAGGTAGAAGGGGAGGAGGTCGGGGGTATGACAACAAAGCAGTTACTGTTACTGCAGAAGTCAGAGGACTCAGCACAGCCAGAAAGGGTAACAGTGTTGCCTCACACCCTCATGAGTGCCCTGCACTGATAAAAAGGGTGAGACCGAACCTCGAAGTAATAGTTGAGCTGAAAGGAGAACACGGGACTGGAGCAAGCATTTGTCACAAACCAAATACTTTATATACCTATCTCATTTAATCTTTAGTGCGTAACAGTAGGTTCAGTGATAAACTAAAATAGTTTTTCATTCCTGCTAGAAGAAGTACTGTAAATGAAGATAGGCAAATACTAGCTAAGAAACAGTACGTAAAAGATCTAAACTTCAGATTATCTTAATATCTTCAGTGGGGCAGGCCGGCCCCGTGGCTTAGCGGTTAAGTGCACGTGCTCCACTACTGGCGGCCTGGGTTCGGATCCCAGGCGCGCACCGATGCACCGCTTCTCCGGCCATGCTGAGGCCGCGTCCCACATACAGCAACTAGAAGATGTACAGCTATGACATACAACTATCTACTGGGGCTTTGGGGGGAAAAAATAAATACATAAATAATTTAAAAAAAATATCTTCAGTGGGGTTTACTGGTGTATTTTGTTCTATTTAAGAGGGAATCAGGGGCCGGCCCTGTGGCTTAGTGGTTAAGTGCGCGCGCTCAGCTACTGGCTGCCTGGGTTTGGATCCGGGCGTGCACCGACGCCCTGCTTCTCCGGCCATGCTGAGGCCGCGTCCCACATACAGCAACTAGAAGGATGTGCAGCTATGACATACAACTATCTACTGGGGCTTTGGGGGAAAAAATAAATAAATAAATAAAATTAAAAAAAAAAAAGAGGGAATCAAGCAATAATTTCAAATGACGTACTGTTCATAATAGCTAAAGAAAATGCTTAAAAGAGTAATATAACAGCAGTATTAAAAGAAATCTTACAGAAGAAAACTAATCCTGTTAACTCAACCACATTTGTACAACTGTTTAAATTTTTTCCTGTTTCCGTGTACATATATTTTTATATATTTTTGCCACTTGGCAGTCATAACAATATGGTCTAGTTTTCACTTGTTGAATTTTAAACATTTTCCTTTGTTCATATTTGTAAGGGCTTCAGGAAGTAGACGTTTTGAAGGGGATAGGTTTTTAAAATAGAAATCCATTTAATGTTTGGTTTATAGCATTGTATGACACTGAGTGAATGGATAATTGTAAAATTGGAGCTGGGAGCCATTTTGTAAAACATCCAGGGAATAAACAAAAAGGCAGGAAATGACCTTCCTTCTTCCAGTTCACGCCCCTTTTCATTGGTTTACAGTTTGGTGGGTGTCTTTCTGCAGATTGGGAATGATCCTGTTACAGCATGGATAAAATGCCACAAGCAAATGAGTCACAAATATCCTGTTTGGTAATTTAAACAAAGAAACAGAACATTTATTTACATCTAAAATACTTGCAAATTCTTGTTTTAATTAACACAATGGTTGAGAATGAAACTGTTACCTCACTATTGTAACTGTATCGTACATAAAGTTGTCAAGTGCCTGTCTCCAAAAAGGCAATCAATAAATATTTTTGAATAAATGAATGAAATCTTTGTTGAGATTTTCTGTGCATGTAGAATAAACTAAACTATTGAAGTCACTTAATAGTTGAAAAAGATTTCCAGATTGCCAAACTACTTCTAATGGTAATAGTACTTCAGGATATGCTAAGTACCCCATTACAAGAAGTATTTAAGATGTGTGGACATGTTTCAGAGATGCCTTTATTAGATGTGAACATAGATTTATAATAGTCTGCAGTTACACAAAATATCAACCAAAATAGTTGATAAGCACGTAGTCCTTTGTTCCTTATATATCTTATCACTAGATCATCATTAAACCTTAAGTATTTAAGGATCAGAGTTTCCTATTAGGTTAGTGAGAGCATTATTTCCCAAGTGTGTCTCGTGGAACACTATCCTGTGAGATAATCTGAGGAAAAGTTTCCTTGATCGTATTCATTCTCAGATTCTCCATACTATATTCT